GAGGTCCTGCGCTCTCGGCACTTGGTGGCGCGCGGAGGGGGGTAGAAGGGAGGGGGGGAGGCGTCTTAGAAGGAGGCTGCGTCTTAGTTAGGCGAGGGACTCACATCTACAGACAAGGCCCACGCCTTCCAGGAAGCAGGGTGCTTCTAAGAACCCTTCCCCCCACCCCCCCCCTCTCGGCGCGTGCCTGAGGTCCTGCGCTCTCGCCGCTACGATCTGCCGGGGGAGAGGATCAGAAAAGGCAAAGCATGGCAAAGCATACAAACTTCCGGAGGTCCGCGCTGATGTGTCGGATTGGCGCTGGGCCCCCCTCCATGGCGCGCAGAGCGCGCCAGGGGCGGTGCTGGAGGCGCCGCCTGGGGGCTCCAGCGCCGATCCGAGAAATCCGCGCAGACCTCCAACAGCTGATGTTTATGTACTTCGTTGATCCCCGATGGATTGACGCCGAGCCCTAATCTCCGAGGGGCAACTACGTGAGACGAACATCTCTTCACCGCGGGATGCAGTGAGGCGGGCCAGCCGGTGACCACGTGCGGCCGCTTGGGGGACCTGGGAGGTCACAGACCTAGGTCCTACGCTCCCCCTGCACAGACCTCTTCTCACTGCGACGACATTGCGACAACATCACGACGGACGCGTTCTGGCTTCTCCCAGAGTTCCCTTCCGAGCCCGTTGGGCGTCTGAGCCCATTCGGCCGCTGAATGGACACAATATCAAGTACAGTTGGCAGCCGAACGGGCTCAACTCCCTCGACACTGTTGGAACCGACTCCGTTCGGCTGCCTATTCGGCGGCCGAACGAGCTCAGACGCTGAACAGGCTCAGAAGGAGACCCGTGTGCCTCCGCGCGCCCCAGGACTTTTAAGAAACAGCTCAGCATGGAAAAATGGTGCCAGAGAATGGGTCGAGACCTCTGGGGGTCCACATCGGGGTTGGCTTCTGACACCGCGTGGATCGTTCAACCTGGAACGACTGGCGGCTTTTCGATCGCCAGATGTTTCCACATTGGCCGACCCCCCCCACCCCTACCACCCCTCGATGTGAAAAAACACGGCGGGCGGAGATAAGCGAACGAACGAACGAACGACCGTCGTCGTCGCCGTCGTCATTCGAGCGTTTTCCTAAATCTTCGATGGCTCCTGCAAGCTTGCGCACCCCGGTATGCCTTCCAATGGCTGCGCCTCGCCGAGGGTGTTCCGGGGGTGCCCGAATTGTCCCGAAGGGCAGCCCGAGACCTGAGTTACGCCACGGAAACCGGCCTCTCGCTATGGAATCAGCAGGTTTGCGTCGTGACGATCTCGGGTTTCGCTTCTGACACCGCGTGGATCGTTCAACCTTGAATGATCAATGGCTGTCTGGTCGCCAAATCTTTCCCCACTGACTGGTTCTGGGCCGCTGGCGGCGACCTTGAACGCCCGCGCTGGGGTCGTCGTCGTGTCGACACGACACGAACCTACAGTACCCTGACATCCTCTCGTCGTGAGAAAAAAGCAGCGATGAGATTTGCTCGATCGTTTTCGGCCTGCAGGGGCCCTCGCCGGGCCCGGAACCGTCAAACAACGACTCAGGATGAGCAGCCGGGGGGAAGAGGTCCATACTTCGGGTCGACGGCGTGTACAAGTCACGACGTCAGAGCTCTGGACCTACTGCTGAGACCTTTAGCTTGGCGTGTCGCGGCGGCGGCCCCTGCGACTCGCTGCGCCCTGCAGGCTGTCAGCGTGTCGCTCTGCCTCAGTGGAAAAAAAGGCTGGGGAACAGCTCGGGACGGTGACGCCTGGGGACCGGGGCGTTGCTTAGCGCGTCTCGCGGAAGCGTGGTGGGCCAGAACCCGCGGCGCGACGCGCAGAGCAAACGTTCCCGACCGTACTGCGTTGGTCAACTCAAGTTGCAAAAATTGCAGCAGTTGCAAGGTGGTTGCAACCCATTTGCAAGGTGCATGCAAGTTGGCTACAAGTCTGCCTACCTGCTCCAAGTCTGGGTGAGTCGCGGACACAAACTGGAACAGCTAGGACTTGCAACCAACTGGCAAGCGGGTTGTAACCACCTTGCACTTGTTGCGAGTCACAGCGATCACCGCAGTTTTCCTCCTCCTGGCCTTCCTCCTGCCCGCTCATCACGGGTGTGGGGTGGGGGTGTGGGGGGGTCACGTTCGAAATCGAGGTTCGGGCCAAAGTTCTTGGACGTTTGCCGGGACTCCTCGTCACCACGGCTGGATACACCCCGAGATTCTGGCCAGGAAGCACTCCAGAAGCGGTCTGGCGGAAAACCGACGTACGGTTTTTGGCTACTTTCGGCCTCCCACTGGGCACGGAGGGCTGTCAATGCAGAGCGGCTCGCGATGAACAAGCAAACTCGGTCATGGGGTCTAGATCTCCGTGGGTCCACAATGGGTCAAACATCACAATGTTGGGGTCTGGGTCATACTCCCCCATCCAACTCCTGATCATCGTCCTTTCCTTTCGACCTCTTTTACCTCCTCTTCCTCGGCCTCACCTCCTCCCGATCCGCTCCTCTTGCGCATCCTGCTCATCATCACCTTCCTCCTGTTCGTCTCCCCCTCCTCCTTCTTCTATCGACGCCGCGTGCTGGTCCCTGGAGGCCTAGGGGATCCTCACAGCCTCAAAAAAAAAAACAACCCTCGAGGACCAAGGGTACGTACGACACTCGAGCCACGATCATCTCGGGTCGGACGGACGGGACGGGGGTTAGTAAAGGGGGGGCTACCGAATCAGCTGACGTAGCTGATTATCCTGGCGCTTCCTGGCACCATAGGTGCCAAATTAGCGAGGAAAGCGCCCGCCACCAGCCGCATGCAGCAGATGTCGTACCCTCCCGATTCACTATCCCCCTCCCCCGTTCGTCCGACCCGATCCTCGAGGGACGGATGATGATGGCCCTCGAGGATCATGGTTCTCGGGGACCACGGTCCTCGACTCTCGATCCTCGGGGGGACGGAGGAAGGTGTCCTTTAGGCCTCCCAGATCGGTTCGGAGTAGATGGGGTCGGAGGATCGCGTTGCATCACCGATGCATCGGCGACGTCGGCGTGCAGAACATCAGGCTCCACATCAAGCCTCATCAGCGATGTATCGGCGATGCGGCACGATCCTCCGACCCCATCTACTCCGACCCCATCTGGGAGGCCCAGGACGGAGGAAGGTGTCCTGCACCAGCTTCCTAGAGCTCTCCTCTTCCGCAGGGAGCGACGGGCAGACGACAGCCGTGGCCCACAGCGTGGCGCTGGCAACGTCCCGGGGGAGCTTCCCGCCGCACTCCGCGGAGAGGCCGTGGATCAGGAGCCTGCCAGCGGGGCAGGCGGCGGAGGGTACGGGCGCGAGCGGGAGCACGCTGGGCGACGGGATCTGCGCATGCCCACTGCCACTGGCCAGGCCCATCCCTGGCCGAGGCGCAGTGCATGCCCTTCTCCCGCTGCTCCTCTTGCTCTTTGTTCCTCATCGTGTTCCTCCTCTTCCTCCCCCCCCCTCCTCCCCCTCCCCCTCCATGGAGAGAACGAGGAGACAGGTGCGGGGAGGGACACGAAGTTTCAAACAGTTACTGGCCCTGGATTAACTCGGTGGCCATTCCTATTATAGAACCCAGGGCTGGGGAGGGGGGAGGGGGCACTTCTTCAGCAGTTGCTCACATCACACCTCTCCTGGGCCCAGGATGGGCCTGGCCAGGGGCAGTGGATTCATATCGCGCCGCCCGAGCACGAAGAGAGGCAGCAGCGGCCCTCCTCTGCACGTCGCTCGTGCGCCAAGGGCCTGTCTTCTCGACGCCGGCGCTGCTCCAGAGGCGAGGGCCGGGAACGCGAAGGTCGGGGGCCCTGCGGGGGGCCCCAGACCTGGCCAGGATCGGCGCCTCCCCCCAAACGCCAACCAGGAGCAGCAGAAGGGGGGCAGGAGCAGGCGGAGGACCGGGAGCGGCAGGGGAGCACGAGGACGGTCGTCGGGAGATTTGGACCCCTCCCTCCCTGCAGAGCGCGTCGCCGGGGCGGCGGCCCTGGCCCCCAACTGAAGAGAATCCTGCCACACACCGTCTGTCTCCTTGTTTCTCACGGCGCGCGTCGGTCTGGTCCTCCTGTCCTTCGGGGTGCGAGTTGGGGACCCCTGCGGGCAAGTAGCCACATGTATAGAGTGCACATGGAGACTTTGAAGTGCATTCTAAACGGGGGTCGCATAGAGTACACGTCGACCAACGTGTGCATTTTATACGCGTTTCTACGGGCGTTTAGCGTGCACGTCGGAAGGGGTAAAACAAACAGCGTTTAGAGTGCCAGTCAAACAACGTGTAACGTGCACCTGTGTTTTCACAATGCTGATCTGACTCAGCAGTCCCTTGGGCTGTCCTGGGCCTCTCTGGAAGCCCTGTTGAGCTGTCCTTGTGGCGCTCGGGGCCCTCCTGGTCCGTTCTGGGCTGCTCCTGGAGCCACCCCAAGCTGTCTTACAACTCTATTGGGCCCTCTGGACGTCACCTCTTGGAGCCCTGAGCCGTCCTGTCCCCCCTTCTGGAGCCGGGGCCCGTGTAGCGTGTCCCCTGCCCCTCCCGCTTTCCCTGGGGTCGGGGCCATGCTGGCCTGTCTTGGCGGCCTTTTGAGCCTTCTTGGGGCTCCCGTGGGCCGTCCTGGGCCTCTCTGGAAGCCCTGTTAGGCTTTCTCTGTGGTTCTCGGGGCTCTTGTGTGCCGTTCTGGGCTGCTCCTGGAGCCATCCCAGGCTGCCTTACAACTCAATGGGGCCCTCTGGACGTCACCTCTTGTTGCCCTGAGCCGTCCTGCCCCCTGGTGGAACTGGGGCCCGTATAGCGTGCACCTTGCCCACCGCCCCTCCCGTCCCCCTCGCGTCGCTCTTGGCATGCAGGCCCTCTTGGGAAATCTTGGGCGCCTGGGGGGCATATTGGCCAGCTTGAGGCAGCAATCGGGTCCATGCTGGGCTGTCTGGGCGGCCTTTTGGGCCTTCTTGGGACTCCTTGAGGCGATTGAGGTGGCATTTCTATCACAATGGAATTACTCCGGGGAGTCGGCGTCTAGCGTGCACGCGATCGAGTAATTTATC